TTTTTTAACATCCTTATGTCTGGATATTTAATTTGTGTGGAAATAATCTATAAACCTATTTTCCATTTCTCTTGGTGCTAGTCTTAAACAGATGAACAGATGAGGATCTCTTGGATGAACTTTTATTTTCTCAATATGTGTTTGTTGTTCATACTGTTACATACAAATCATTTGTACCCTGCATTATACAGTTTGGTTGGACATTTTTCAAAGCCTACTTTGAAACTGCTTTCCAAATTCTAGACAACAATATTTGCTTTAACTTCCAGGAAGATTGAAGCTTGCTATGTTATGTTAGCTTGCTTGCTATTATTATTACAAAAATTACCTTCTAAACACGTGTGAAACTAATGCTACAAAGTTTTATAGTGAATTGAGAAAGCATCATATGAAATCAAGCACCATAGAGCAAATATTCATATATCTTCACCCCTTTCTATACATAAGTATGTATCTATGTATGCATTCTTCGTTTTACAGTGGTGAAGGCGAAATTTGGCAATGCTGATGGCGAGTTTTGTAAATTCCCTTTCCTGTTCATGGGCACTGAGTACAACAGCTGCACAGCTCAGGGTCGTGATGACGGTTTCCTATGGTGTTCCACCACTTACAACTTTGAAGAAGATGGCAAATATGGCTTCTGCCCTCATGAATGTAAGCTTACCCAGTGGGTCCCTTTTTTGTTAAAGCATATACTATATGTTTGACATAGCAGCTGTGATGTCTGTTTGAACATTTTGCTTTTGAAACTTGTGATTTTTGTGGCCTCACATGACCTAAGGCGTGATATGCCCTACTTGGATCTTATTGAACCAAACAAAACATTTAATTAGTCTTTCAGTACTGGTAAAGTAATACTTAATATCACATCATAGCTATACTCAAAGCTGTTCTGTTGTTTTTGAACATGAAGAAAGTAGGTTGGCCAGGAAAATGCTTTTTTTTTTTTTAAATTTTGTTTTATTTGGAGTGAATTATGGAACATTTCTTCTCCAAGTTACTGCCCCACTTTACAACATGAGGCTTTGTCAAACATTTTGTTTATCTCTGTTATGTTGCTGTCCATGGTACTAACATGATCAGATGCTATTACAACTAACTGCCAAAATACACATGTTCAAAGTCATTTTATGTGATAAAAACACGAGTAAGGCCTGTTTGCACTGGAGTTTTCTATTTTGTTAAACTTTAGTTTTGAAGTGAAAAAAACAAAAAAACAGTTCCAATGTACCTATTTTGTTAATTCAAGTTTATTGTGTTCCCTTGTGTTACATCACTACTTAGTGATCAAGGGTTTTGTATTACAATTGAATTTCTTATTTTAGTTAGAAGAATGTAAAAACAAATACTGTTTTTTAATTTTATTAGGCCATCTGTAACTTCATTTGGTTTGTGATTTGCAGTACTTTTCACCCTGGGTGGAAATGCAGAAGGGGCTCCATGTAAATTCCCCTTCAACTTTCAGGGGGAAAAGTATGATGGATGCACCACAGAGGGCAGAGATGATGGTTACCGCTGGTGTGCCACTACTGAGGATTATGACCGCGACAAAACGTATGGCTTTTGCCCTGAAACTGGTAAGTGGTGTGTCATGTGTTGTCTCTTATTCACATAACATATAGCAAAATGAAAGATAATCACATCGAGTTGATGTCCACTTAGGTGTGCATAGTGGTCACGGTCTTCATTATGCAATAGCACTTAAATAAATATTTCACTAGCGGTGCTTTTTTTTTGATGAGCAGTGCATAGTGCCTTGCCATATGTTGGGCTACAGGAATTCTGCAGCTGCGGTTTTTGGTTATGCTCGTGGTGGGCTGAATAGCTATAAAAGTATTTTAATGTGCAGTAGCAGGGCCTATTTTCCATTCTGTCAGTGGGGCTTGTTTTAGGGTTGAGGTACTGGGGTAGGGAGAAAGGCATACAGGGAGAGGTACTACCGTTGGTGCTTTCATCTGATTTTATTTGATTAGGGATGAAGCTTTGCTGCAGAGTCCTGTGTGAGAACTTGTACCGAATAAGAAATTATATTCTTTCTTTCTTTCTTTCTTTCTTTCTTTCTTTCTTTCTTTTTAACACAAAACCACTCTTGCCAGACTGAAAATGATCTCTCTTTGAAAGAAAATCAATTTGGATGGGTGCATTTTGGTTGTGTGCCTAATGGATTAGTTATTGATGTCGTGTGTGTTGTGCCAGCTGCTTTCATCATGCTATTTCTGAACATCATCTGCACTCGTTTCATAATAACCCAAACTTTTCCAGAAAAAAAAATCCCTTTGCATAGTAAATTTATAAGATAATTAAGCAACTGAATTCAGTGCATATTTTGCATTTACTGTTTTGCATTTTGTTGCTGTTACCAGCAATGTCAACAGTGGGAGGCAATGCAGATGGAAGCCCCTGTGCCTTCCCTTTCACCTTCCTGGGAGACACTTATGAATCTTGCACCACCTCTGGACGCAGCGATGGCAAAATGTGGTGCGCTACCACCAAGAGTTACGATGATGACCGCAAATGGGGCTTCTGTCCTGATCAAGGTAAAAGAATTTGCCAGTGGTATTTGGGGATATTTTTCCCAAGATCCAGCGGATTGGAAGACACTGAATCTATCTCTTTTTTTTTCTTTTTTTTTCTGTGGAAAGATAATAGATATTTGTTTAAATGAACTTGTTTCTAGGCTACAGCCTTTTCCTGGTAGCAGCCCATGAATTTGGTCATGCTCTTGGTTTGGAGCACTCCCAGGACCCCGGTGCACTGATGGCCCCTGTTTACACTTTTACTAAAGACTTCAGGCTCTCCAATGATGACATCAAAGGCATCCAGGAGTTGTATGGTGAGAGAAAAATGCCACATATAGTCTAATACCAATAAGTGCCTGGGAAAATGATTGTGTTGTCAGGGGATAATTTGCAGACCCCTTTAAATAATAAATACTGTGGTAAATCTGACAACAGGTGTGCCAACAGACAAGCCTTTGCCTCCAACCCAGGGTCCTGTCACTCCAATGGATATCTGTAATGAGCCAGTGATCTTTGATGCTGTAGCACAGATCAGAGGAGAAACATTCTTCTTCAAAGACAGGTAATCATCTCAGTTAGCAACTTGATGTATCTTTAAAAAAAAGAAAAAAAAAAAAAGACTTCAATGTAAGAAAAGTCTGAAGCCCAGGCAAAGTGTTCTAGATATGCAAGCTGTAATGTTCCCAGTTGCTCTTTTGAGTCTTAAATGTGATGTAAAGGCTGAGTTTGTGAACACTGAAAGCACTGCCAAAGTCCTGTTAAATTTCCTGTCTGTGATCTGTGCGAAGAGCGATAAAGAAAACAAAATTGCCTGCTTCAGGCTGTATCGTCTTGCGTGACTGAAACACAGCAGCCTGCACCAACTGGATTTCACAATCCCATCACTGCAAACAACAACAGTTTGACATGAGGTTTCTTGTTAATTATGGTTTCTCTTTTTACAGTCTTGTGCCACTTGAAGATTACGGGCATATTGTTGTTTTGTGATATGACAATTAGTAAGAGTTGAAAACAAGCTATCCCTCTACTCACGCAGTGACAACCAAAGTAGTCATCATTCATAAACAGTCTACACTCCTCTTCTCCACCGGCGCCAGTGTCTCCAAAGTCATGTAGGTTTACTATGTGTCTGCTGGCTGACTCTGTAGAAAAGACGTTGCATAAAGTCCTGTGGTTCGGTCAACAGTCTTTGTGAGTCAGGGTACTTCCCGTAGAAAGATGAACAGTTTCATTGCAACAGCTGAAGTTTGTTACAAAGAGCTTACCCCAGTGGCATGTTACAAAAAGGAACTGTTAGGACAAACAAATGATGGGTTAGCTGTTGACATTGTTGACACAAACACTATAACTTCAACGTTAAGAGTTGCATATCCTGTCACAATCATTTGGAAATCAGCTAAGAGTAGATGCAAAATACTCAAGAGTCAGTTAGCTTGGCTTTTTTCACTGAGTTACAATATTTTTCACCTTGCTGTGGCTCTAGCAGAGAGTGTGCAGCGAACCATGAAACTTTGGATCAGTTGTTGGTCATCAAGTCAGCTGAAATGATCTTTTTCTTCCATCTGAAACATTATATATCTTATTTAACTGTTGGGACAATTTTTTTTTTTAAAGTGAAAATTTTATTTTCACTTTAAGCATTGTTGAAGTCTGAAAATGCACACAGTCACATTAATGTAAAGGCAAGCACAAGTTTCCGACATACCTCGGCTCTCAGGTCACCGTTGTTTAAATAAAGCCATGGAAAAATAATATCTTAAAAAAGAAATGACATTGTGTCTAAATGATAGGATGACAGCAGTGCTAAGCATCACCTACCTGGGTGGAATGTAACAGATGATTAAACTGTCATTTTGCAGAGAGATGGTATTCAGAGCAAACTGGTTCAGCTTAAGGTGGCTAAAAGTTCCATATACATATGTTACACTGAAATTTAGCTGAGCTGTAGCATTTTTATCACCATTGTGCACTAATCTAAGCTGTTGTTTGATGCTTTCAAACACATTTAATTCAATATGACGTGAATTTTAGGTTGCTATGTGAAAATGTAATCAAGCAAAGTTTAAAAGTTATTCTGAAGATCAGGGTGGGAAAATGAGGACAGAGTATTATGAAGTTACTGTAGTGAACAAACAGTATATCTCACTGAAATCTGGGATCGGTAAAGTTTTAGTACAGGCCTGTTGGTCCAATTTCATAAGTTGCCTGAAGGGCATGTCAGACTTGTATGCTGCAGAGCTCTGGTACATGCTAAGTTTTATAGCTTTACAGAAAGAGCTGTACCCTCTGGGCTCTGGGGCTAAGCTCACTTGACTCTCCCACTGTAAAAGTGGAATCTCTCATTCTGTTAGCTCAGCATATTTATGTTGTGAGACAAATCTTAACGTGACGCAATGAGTAATTCTTGCAGCACTCCCTGAGCTCAGCATATAAGTGGGTCTGTCTGTCTCGAGGCTTAAGGAGAAGGTACTTAGAAAGTCTGACTTATAGAAAATGTTTGGCCAACCTGCTGGTTAGGTCTGTTCTGAAGCGTAAAACCAGTGGAGATTGTTGTGACTGTTGTGCAGAGGCTGGTGAAAAACTGTTAAGAAAGACTGCTGTTTTATAGAAGCACTTTTGTTGAATGGTAGTAGTTAAAGATAATGACAGTATAAAAATACAATAGGCCTCACAAACGCTGCCAAATACCTGTGACTGAACTTTGCATTTGAATGTTTCATTATTTTCTGACTTTTTTGGTGCACTTTAAACATATTTAGACTCAAAAATGATAAAGATCTGTTCTCCATCTACTTTATTCTTTTTCTTCTGGTTTGTGAATGTCGAATGTTTTCCTTTTTTGTGTACACCACAATCCGTGTCTGAGAGGATGTAGCATTAAACCCCACAAACCAAACTTTTTGTTTTACCATCATAACCCTCAAAGAAATACTTTGGTGTACTTTTTCCAGCTTCCCTGACAGATACTATTGTTACTCTTTCTTCAGTTTAATTCTTTCTATCTTCTTTTTTGTTTTTGCTCTGTTATACAATTTTAGTGCCTTTTCCACAATGCATTTTAGGCAAACTTATAATGTGGGTCAGTACACTGAGCCATTTAAATCAATGTGTTAAAAACTTATATTTCTCACAAAGCTCAGTTGCATTGTCATAATCATCAACCTGTATTTTTACACAGTTCAAACAGGACTTTGTTAAGAACAAATCCAAGATCAATGGATTATCTACTTCAGATGTTAGGGTTATTAGTAATTACCTGTATGAAAATACAGGTAAATAAAAGAGAATAAAACAGACTCAGAGATCTAAAACAACAGGAGTGCTTTAGAAAAATCACTGGAATATTTTCTGTACGCGTATTCCCCTTACCACCCCTAGGCAGATCTTGTTTTTCCTTTTATTGAGTGCATACTGGAAGAAAAGAGAGGGAGGAAAGGATAAAATTAAGGCTCTGCTACAGACTGAAAACCCTCTGGATATTGTTAGTGCATGAACAGCAAACTGATCTGCAAGAACACAAATAAAATAATGACATTCGTAGATGGTTAGTTCAGACTGGAATATGTCTCATCTTTCATCCTGACAAATGTAACTTTGGGCAAGTGTTATGTATGCGCACTTCTATTTATGCTTGTTTGTAAAGTTTCATTCTCATCTTCACTTTATCATTTTGACAACTGATCTTTGTTTTTGGCAAATCTTTGTCTGTCTAAAAAATAGGTCAGTGGAAAAGAGTATGGTAAGCTGCTATTGTTGCGCAGCTGTGTATTGGAAATCCGGGCAAGATGGGTCTTGTTCCGCTGGCGTCTGCAGCCTTAGTCCTAACGAGAACCAGATGCTCATGAATCAGACCATTGTGGCTGGCTCGGCCAGCGAAGCACTTGCACTAAAACCCCAATCTCTTATACACACACAGACACACATGCTTTTTCTCTCTCTTTCTCTCCCCACCTCCTCATCAGCCCCCTCGGTTCCTTTCACTCTTACTTCTTCACTCTTATTTCTTCCCTAGCCTGTCTAACTCATGATTGCTCATCCTCCCACTCTCTCTGCAGGTTCCTGTTCAGGTCAGTCAACTTTAGAAGCAAACCCAATGGACCAATGCTAGTGGCCACCTACTGGCCCGACCTGCCTGCCAAGATAGATGCTGCCTATGAAAATCCAGAGGAAAAAACAGTCTTCTTTGCAGGTATTCTGAGGAAAGCAAGAGACTTTGAAAAATGCACTTTTAGATCGGTTTTAATATTAACCCCGCACTTATAAGGTGATGAAGAAAACAGATGCATTACTTTTAATGAGTAATGAAGATGTGTCTTCCCCATTTCACCACTTGGATGCATTTCCCCTAATGGTCAGCCATTTCTATTACCTGAAACTTTAGGAGGCACCAGAATGTAGGCCAAACACTCTTAAGTGCAGTGTGGACTCTTCCAGCATGCTTATTAGTGGTTTATGAAATATTCACAGCATTTTACAAATATGACAACTTTCCTGAATACTGATGAGACTTACACGATATATCCATCAACTCTAAAGACATTAAGATGGTTTGGTAAATGTTCGACTTATTATCTCAGTGCAAAATTGGTTCATAGAGGTAACCCTTGTGTTGTCCTCGGGTCAAAAATGACCCCTAGGTGAATGGCAAACAAGTATATGGGAATGCCGAGGACAACACAAGAATAAATGATAAAATGTTGATTTAAAAGTTTAGTGATTTTCATTAGAATAACATATTGTATGTATCCTAAAAGTGAGTTCTCTTTTTAACTTACTCTTCTCTCCCAGGCAATGAAATTTGGATGTATAGAGCTGATCAGTTGGAGACAGGCTACCCGAAAAGGTTGTCCAGCCTTGGCCTCCCCACTGACCTGCAGCAAATCGATGCCGCCTTCAACTTTAGGAAGAACAGGAAGACTTACTTCTTTGCTGGAGACAAATTCTGGAGGTAAGGAGAGTTAAAGTTTGTGCAAAGATTTGCATTTAATGTAATTAAAAGCCCCGTGTGACTCGACCTACCTCTTGCAATTGAGGTCATAAACTGTTGCAGTTGTGTGCTACATCTGAACTGAGTTAGTGTTTGGTGTGACCTAAACAGTACAGTAACTCAACAGCTTGTAGTTTTTGCACATATGAAGCCGTAGTGCTGCGGACTTTTGTTTTATCTGGGAAAGTGCCATCATGTGTTTCTGATGCACTTTATAAGATGCAAACCAACGAATGTCATTCAACAACAGAGGGTCTTTAAAAAAAA